CATTTGGGCAATTTAGAACTGTGTGTCCTGTACTGGCGCAAGCTGCACAGGGCTCTGGTGTCTTACGTAATTTCGAACAGGTACATGGGCTGTGTCTATTTCCTTTACTCTTCCAACATACTTCGTATTCTGTAATAAGAGGGCATTGTGGAAAAGAATGGTCCATTACTTGACAGTATTGACAATGATTTCCTTTTATTTTGTTAAATTTGCAACCATCTATTGAATACCCTTTATCATTACGAAATTTGCATATGAGTTCTATTTCTGTTTTTGTAACTTTACAATTGTTTGATAGATAGTCGTTGGATTTGCAGTATACGTATGATCCGTTGTGGCAAAATAAAGCTTCGTGATTATAATTTTCACAGATTTGACAATTGTAAATGTTATTAATATTCGCTGAAGCAGTAGTTGAATCTGATGTGTTCTGGAGACTGTCAGTGGCGTCTCCTCTTAATATTTTATGTTTTTGCAATTTTGTCTCGATTTATATAGCTTCTTGCATAGCAGCGTTTAAATTATTATGATCTTTGAGTTCTATACGAATGTTTTGTTGTAAGACATTTTTAAAGTTTATTAATACATCATCATTTATCATTGTTTCAAATGCTCTGAAAGTCTCGTCAGTATTAACTGGTAGTTTTTTTATTTCCTTAATTTGTATAACTAGATCTTTCAACTAATTTCATACATTAGGACCGATTCATTTGATTTTTGAATAATATCCGTAAATTTCTCGTATAAACTGTGAATGTTATCTCAAAAAATGAGTGATTGTTTTATGGATTTAATATAATAGTCTATTTTGTCAATTTTGATGTTAGCCAGTGCTTTATAAATTTCTCTGCTTAATTTATAGTTTAAAATTGGGATTAAGTTTTGTTCATCTACTCCAGAAACCACTGACTATACAGTTTTTAATTTGTCAATATATTCGCTGAGTGTTATGTTTTTTCCGTCGAACTGTGGGACTAAATCCGCGACATACTTAAGTAGTAATCTCAGCGGTTGTGATATTTCGCTGACGTTTGCTTTCGTATTATTATTCTTGACTCGTTTTTCGATGCCGTCTCCAAATTTGTAATAGAATAAGAATTCCTGAAATGAACGAAGCTCAAACATAATAAAAAATCGTGTTTGTTGTACTTTTAAGCTAGGATATCTCGGAAACCTAAGAAGATGTAGCAATTATGGTTTAAGATTCGGATTCAGCGCATAAATTCCCTTAGGTACATCAGGTCTGATCTGTGGGTGTAAAAATTTAGTTGGCCTGTGTTATTAACTCTGTTTCATTATTGCCAATTAATTTAATTGTGCAATTTGTAATTTATATATTTATTCTTAACCTCCAAATGGGGTTATAACAAGGCAATACTAGGTCTGTTCAAAAAGTATCGCGAATTTTGTATGTTTTCAAAAATTATTTATCCATTTTATCTCCTTCAAAGTAATCCCCCTCGGATATAATGCACTTGTACCAATGCTTTTTCCAATTCTCGAAGCACTTAAAAAAATCATTTTTTGTGATCTTGTTCATCTCCTCCTTCGATGCCATCTTTCTCTCCTTAATCGTGGTGTAACGTCGTGCTTTCATGGGCTTCTTCACAGTCACAGAGGACCAGGTCTGAGGAGTACTGTGGCTGCGGCGCCATTATTGTGTTGTTTTTGGCCAAATATTCATGCACAAGCAACGATGTGTGATCAGGAGCGTTATCATGGTTCACAATCACATGAATGAAGGTACAAAAGCCAGTTTTTGTTCTTCCACAAATCCGGACGTTTCTGGTGGGTCGCATCGCACAAATGGCACATAACTTGCAGGTAATATTCTTACTACCGTACTACCACTGTGTCAAGAACTCATGATACACCACGCTTCCTTGTAATCGAAGAAATCTGTGAGCAAAACCTTCACGTTCGACCGAATTTGGCACGCTTTTTTCGGTCTTGGCTCATGCGTCAGCTTCCATTAGGATGATTGAGCTTTGGTTTCCACATTATAACCATAAACCCATGATTCATCACCAGTTATGATCCTCTGGAGCACATTTGGGTCATCACGGTCCGAGTCCAACATCTCCTTAGCAATGATAACGCAATGCTGTTTTTGGTCGAAATTGAGCAGTTTTGACACGAATTTCGCGGCGACCCGTTTCATGCCCAAATCATCGGTTAAAATCGAATGGTATGAGCTAATCGATATGTTTAGATCCTCAGAAACTTATCTCACGGTAATTCGACGATTGGTCAATACTATTTTCTACACTTTATCAATGTTTTCGTCTGTTGTTGACGTGCTCGAGCGTCTGGCACGTTGTTCGTCGTTCACATCTTCTCGGCCGTCTGAGAACATTTTATACCACCGATAAAGGTTGCTTTTGTCCAAGGTCGCTTCACCATATGCCACATTCAACATTTGGAATGCGTTCGCGCAATTTATTTTGTTATTCGCACAAAATTTGATATAGATTCTTTGATTCATTTTTTAGTATAGGCAAAAATCGAAGACAAACCAAAACATATCTAATCTAAACAGCTGTCAAAAATTAACTAAACATTCAAAATGGCCGACATTCTCAGCATAAGTACCCCAATAACACAAAAACTTTTTGAAAACGTTTCAAAAACGTTTTCTGGAAAACTTTTAAACGTTGATGACTTTTAGTGAAAAAAACGTTATTAAAACGTTTTTAAAACGTAATATATGTCCGCGAGTAATACGTATTGTATAAATTTTTCTATAATACGTTGTGACTCCCGTTTTAAAACGTTTTCAAAAAGTATTATGATACCGGTCTAATGTATAAATTTTTATAAAAAACATTTTTAAAACGTTTGTAAAACGTATTCAAAACGTATTACTCGCGGACATATATTACTTTTTAAAAACGTTTTAAAAATGTTTTTTTCTCTAAAAGTCATCAACGTTTAAAAATTTTCCAGAAAATGTTTTTGAAACGTTTTCAAAACGTTTTTGTATTATTGGGGTAGCTAGACGGTGTTCTACCCTAAGGCGCAATAAATGTAACTCAACTCAACTCAACTTAACTTACCTTAATGCCTCTGTAACTATAGGGTACATTAAATAACAGTGTCTTTAAAGTAAATAGGTGATGACCATGCAATTAAAAATATTAAATATATATAAATAAATATTGAACATAGATATACGAGTATGTTTGGGTTGACACCTATATACACACATTGTGACGGTAAACGTCGTATTAGCGCTAATAGCCTAACCTAGTGGCTACCCGCGGGGACAGCACCTACCGGTTGGGGAAAATGTGATGAGGGAATTCGGCATGCGACGGGACGGAGCACGCGCGTATGAAAATTAGGCAGTCGAGGATCAGCTATCGATATCACCTGAGAGAAGTCGAAGATGAGCACCCGGTCGCTAAGCTGTGCAAGGTGGGATAGTTGATAGTTCCCGAGCTTTCCCGAGTGCCGAGATGAGCTGATCTAAGTAGAGGATTAACTACCGATACGGAGAGCCGCAGGGGAAGGATCGGCCATCGACACGCCTAGCCAAAAGTGCACAATCAGCTACCGATACACGAGCCCAAAGTCGAGAGTTAGAACCCGATCGCAGAGTTGTGCTACGTTTCCTCGAGTTTTACCAGAATGCCGATTCGAACCGAGTCGGAGCTGCGACAGCGGTGCCTTCGCCTGCCTGGAAAGCGTGCGTGAGAGTCCGCGTGTGAGGAGTTTCGCCAGCGAGGGCGAAACCGAAAACGCGAGCTCCGCACATTAAAGACAGACTTTCCCGCAGTGAGAGTGCGAATCGTTTCTTTCGTTCTTTGTGCGTCTGCAAAATAAAGGTAAGCTGGCCAGCTTAATTTCATGGTCGCGATATAATTGCTACGCGACTAATACCTCGATTCGACAAAAAGCGTGCATGTAAAATCTCTGCATGTTGTTGTCGTGCGCGCGGCATGTAAACAAACACGCGGGCCGAATTTGATGTAATACTGAGAAAGAATAAAAGTTTCCGTCAGCGATATTAACATTATTCAAGCCGTATTGATTTCACTCCCGTAGATAGTTAGTTGACTGACACCTATTCCCTCTTGCTCTCCGACTTTCGTATTTGATATAGGCGATTACGCGCACCCGTCTACACGATCGTCCGAATAAATTAATTAAACGGTAGCAACCCCGTTACAACATATATATATATATATATATATATATATATATATATATATATATATATATATATATATATGTTATACAATAAGAAAGTATTCTAATATTTGGAATACATTATTTTTTCAAGTTAGAAATGTTTTTTTATCAATTTCTTAAAATTATTAAAATTTACATGATGTAACATAAAAATTTTTTTTCCTTTTTTGAAAAATACATAATAATATATTATATTTATTATTATAAAAATAGATTGTACATTTATACTACGAATAGATTATAAATGCATAATTATAGCACTTTACTGAAGTTGTCTCACATAATAATTAATCAAATGTCTCTGAAATTTTAAGTTATGTCATAGTTTTGGAGAAAAAGATTATATTATATGCCTTTTTAGTAATTAAAATAGCTAGAATAATTTTATTTATATTTTTCCGAAAAATTTCTATTATAAAGTATAAATAAAATTATTGTAGCAGATTATTTGGTTCATTGTTGTCTATGATGTCGTAAATAATGTAAATGTGCCTGATATAGGACTTATTAGCAGCCTGAAGTAAAATGCTTTTTCATAAAACAGCACATAATTTCAAAACTTGTGACAGCAACTTTGAAATGAGTTTCAATAAAATTATATCGAAAAATATGTATTTATAAGATTTTCAAGTTATTTATATTCGCTTGTAAAAACTATGTCTAGAAAAGGAATCAAAGATTATTTATATTTACATGGAAAAATATTTCATAAAGAAGAATACACATAATAACGCACCAAAAACAATTCTTAGAAAGATGGGTTAATCACATTAAAATGTCCTACATGAATGTATCTGCACACTAACCTGAGACAGAGGGAGAAGTTTTTATGTACTACGACTGACCTGTAGCAGAGAGCCATCATTGCAAATACTACAAAAACACCCCCTACCACCGACATGAGCGTTATCACTAAATATACAGTGTTAGAGCCGTGGTAGTTCTCTGTTATTTCATGGAACCATGAATGATTATTTTAGATTATCCGTCAGAAATCAATTTCGATCATAACCATTATGAAGTGCAGTACATGAGAGATTTCGTTCCAAATGTTCCGCAGCATGCAGACAGAAGTGGCAGTGACAGTCATAAACAGACAAGAAACAAAAAATAATATGAGCATAAAAATATTTTATAAAATTTATATCAAATATCAACATATAATTTTTTATAATTTCAGAGAATGTAAACGCAGATACAAACATTCACATATACATATATAGTTTTAATTCGAACAAGTCATAATAAACATATTACTTTGAATACGTGCAAAAGAAAATTTCTTCTTTAGCTGAGAGGAATAAAGAGAAATGCTATTAATCAAGCATTGGAAAACATATTGGTCTGGTTTCAACTATACGCAAAAAATTAAAAACTAGTATATTGTTTATAATATCGATAAGTATAATATATTACGTAATTTTCATGTTTTTAATTTGAATATTATGAATATAGTTTATGAAATTTTTACTTATTTGAGTAAATTTGTTTGTTTTAGACATATGTTACATTCCATTATGAATATACGGAACGTGGAATTTGAAACTGCGCATTTTTACAGATTTTGCTTCGATTGCGAAAATAAAGTCGATGTAATACAACATTTTATACGTAGACACATAAATTAATTATATATGATGTATGTGTGTATGTGTGCGTATGTCTATGCATAAGTATATTTATATAGAAATCTTCTTTAAGATTGGATTAATCCTGACAGATTTGGTTAATTAAAGTTATTTTTCATAAATAACGCATCTATATTTATAGAATCATAAAAGTGATAGCGCAACAGCTTATAGAATTTTCTCAAGATTGTATGTTATTAACATAACTAGCGATTATCATATACGCGTAACGTATGCAAAATAACTGTTTGTATATAAGTACAAACTCAAAAAAATATAATGACGTCGATATAAATCTTATATATATAATATTGAAAGGTGTAGGAGAATGGACATTTCATTTTTACGTCTATATACATATAGCACATTACAAACATCTTCCGCGTGTCGTATTATCGCTAGGCTTGACCATGTCGCTTTAAAAATTTTATAACCTTGGTGAAGCCGTATTTGAATTCCGTGCAGGAAACACTTAATGGATAGATAGATTATATATGACGCAACTGCATACTATCCTCTCTGCTGACATATGACCCGTGTGCTAGACCTACATATCGAGAGCGTAGTACGTGTCTCATACGGCTGCATACGGTTCAATAGCCATCCCCTCGACTGCCTTCGGATCTGTATGAGTTTTAATAGAGCTCAGAAGCTACTCGCGCGTATACGACCTATTTATCGATTAGCGCCCTTTGCACGTATAAAATCAACTACGGGAATCTAGGCTACACACACACACACACACACACACACACACAGACTTATCTCTCCGACCATTTTTTTTAAATGGTGTAGGAGGTTAAAGCTTTACATGCGTCATAACTGGACCAACAGTTTAAGGTGGATTCCGAACTACCAGAATTACGGTAACAGATATATGAAAATTTCATTTCTGAAAATCTTTACATATTCGGGGGTCGAACCCACGACCTCTTGCATAGAAGCCTGGACTCTTACGCACTGAGTCATCGTGATCCTTTATTGCAGGCTATTATATACGTATAGGTATATATTGCCTAGACTCATGAAAGATTACACAGCCCTACGAAAAAAAGTAGTTTTCAGTTCCAGAAATGCGACCATAGTACTTATATGTTTTTAGGATCGCTGAATCTGAATCCGAGGTCAGTTTAGCCCCATCAGGCCTTTCTCAAGGTCGGTTTAATGTCAAATCATCCAAATATATAATTAATAAACTAAAAGTATGGTATCTTGGTTTTTTTCGGTCGTCAAATACAAATTAAGAGTATTATCCTATAAGGTTATATTTAAGGTCAGTTCAATGTCAGTCCAAGATCATGGACATGACATTATATCATAGTTAACTACATTCAAATATGTTTGAAGTATGTGCATGTCAATAATATACCCTTAAAAAATTAAGCATCTTACTCTTTTTTATGTTAGTAAAATATTTTATTGTCAAACTATCTATGAAGTGGATTACGTAATCGCTTTTTTGATGTCGATGGTAGATCTCTTTTCAACGATCAACAATAATCTACTAACATATTTATGTTCCATCTTCCTTAGTACCTGCGCTCCATTTTCTTTATATCTTGGTGAAATTTCTCTTCCTTTTCTTCGTTGTAATCACCTAAATTTTCGGGAAATTTATATATATATAGGAGTATAAAAAGTATAATTTTATATTCATTAAGCAGCCTTGAATTTGTAACTATTTACTAAATTTAATACTATTTGTTGGGGATTTGGGCTCTAATGATTTTCCAGAAAATTTTTAATAACGTCCTTGAAACATAACCACGCCGTTCTCTTCGTATGATTCATTTTCGTAACAAAAATTTCATCATTTGTCATCTTACGAATTTCAGGGCCATCGAAAATTCCTTCATTTACTTTAGCATCACTTAATTTGGAAAACTAATTTCGCAGATGCTTTGAGCAGCTACCGTCTTTATACAAAGATTTTATCCATTGTTTAATAAATCCTTATTTATGTGTAGAAGTGGTATTAGAATTTTTGATGGATCAACTAGTGGCTTTCCTTTTATATTCTCCGAATCCGGTTAGACATTTTTCTTTGGGATAAGACATACGAGGGTCGTTTGAAAAGTCCGTGCAAAAATAAAAACTGCTTGATTTTTTTTAATAAATCTTTTTTTTATTTTTCAACATAGTCTTCTTTTAGGCTTATACACTTCATCCAACGCTGCTCTAGTTTGTTAATCCCTTCCAAATAATAGGATTTGTCCAAGTCTGTAAAATAGGCATTCGTTTCTGCATTCTGATTAAAATCTTTTCCCCGCCAGCCATATTTTCATATTAGAGAATAAATAGTAGTCCGACGGAGCCAAGTCTGGAGAATAGGGGAGATGTGAAACGAGTTGGAATCCTATCTCCATCAGTTTTGCGACCATAACTGCTGAGGCGTGAGCTGGCACATTGTCGTGGTGGAAGAGGACTTTTTTGTGGGCCAATCGTGGATGTTTCTCTAGCAACTCGGTTTTCAAACGATCCAATAACGATGAATAATATTCGCCGGTAATGGTTTTACCCTTTTCCAGATAGTCGATGAAGATTATTCCTTGCGAATCCCAAAAGACAGTCGCCATAACCTTCCCGGCCGAAGGAATTGTCTTCACCTTTTTCAGAGCAGATTCCCCCTTGGAACCCATTGTTTAGACTGTTCTTTGGTCTCAGGAGTGTAGTGATGTATCCGTGTTTTATCTACAGTGATGAAACGACGCTTAAAGTCTTGCGGATTTTGCTGGAATAGCTGCAAACTATTCTTGCAACACTTCACACGATCTCGTTTTTGGTCAATCGTGAGCAATCGCGGCACCCATCTAGCGCAGAGCTTTTTCATGTCCAAATGTTGATGCAAAATATTATGTACCCATTCACTCGAGATGCCTACAGTACTAGCAATCTCACACACCTTCACTCTTCTGTCAGCCATCAACATATCATAGATTTTATCAATGATTTCTGAAGTGGTAACCTCAACAGGGCGTCCAGAACGTTCATCGTCTTTTGTGCTCATATGGCCACTCCGAAAATTTTGAAATCACTTATAAACCATTCTAATCGACGGTGCACAATCACCATAATGTTTATCAAGCTTCTGTTTAATCTTCTGAGGCGTTTTGCCTTTGAAAAAGTAATGTTTAATCAATAGACGAAATTCTTTTTCGTCCATTTTTTTACAACCACTCGATTTCTTTGATTGAAACGAATGTAAAACGCAAAGTAATTGGCCGATCTGGCTGAAACTTAGTGTGTGCTCTTCCAAGATATGCCACTAACTGAAAATAACCTTGATACGCACTAGTAGCGCCATCTCTCTGACTTTGCACGGACTTTTCAAACGACCCTCGTACTCTTTATATAATGATTCTTTCTATCCCTGCTATCCTACTCACATAAATATAATCATTGTATTTTATTCGCTTTAATATTACTGTTCGCGCCATGTGCGCTCCATGTGTTTGAAAGGAAAAAATCGAATCTCTCAACGAGATCAAACAGCGAGATTAGAAGCTCAACAAAACATCTCAACTATAAAGGTTGAGAGAAAAAAACAGCACAAAAAAACCGGCATCCCTTTATGGCCCAAACTTTCTTTCATTCATACAAGCACGTTCTGGACATTATTTTCGGGACTTTCCCAGCTCGGGATTTCCCCAACTTTCGCTAGTTGCCAAACTCAGGAGGGCCATTAAAAAAAAGAGAGTAGAGGACCGATTGCCTCCAGGTATAATTGTAGCGTCGCCACTACCATCAACGCCGCCGCTGCGCTGTCGCCGTGCTGCTGCCACGTTACGGGCAGCCTCCGCAACCTCGTAGAGTGGGCCTTAGCAGAACCCTGGCACTCGCTCCACTTTTTGGCTTCCAGGGAAACAGCGGACGGAGCGACAGTGCGATTCGGGAAATCGCCAAGAACAGTTCTCGCTCTCAAACCATCTCAGCTTTCGGTTTCTCTCCGTTCGACCCGACAGTTTTGTTTAGCCACTAAAAAGGGGACTGGACCTTGGAGTGCGTGTAAAGCGCGCCTACCGCCTATATATACGACTACACGGCTTGTGTACGACCCAGCGCCAGACGGAAGGGTTAAGACCGATCAAGGTTTTAGCTGAGGACACGGGCGTGTTCTCTGAGGTGTCACCGACTGCCTGGGCTTCAGCCCGACTCTACCATCTTCTGCATACGCGCACCTTCGACCAGGAACAACGTAGTAGGCGGTGCCCAGGACCAAGACGTTGGTACTACGATTGTTCTAGGTGACACCTTCCTAGCACTGTGTGCTGTCGGCTGTGGTAAACGTTTTTTTTTTATATTGAATGGCCATTCAAT